AGGCACATACTACAACGCCTGGCTAATATTTGTATTTTTGTAGAGACAGGTTGATGTTTTGTCATGTTGCCCAGGCTGGTCTTGAACTCCTGAGCTCAAGCGATCCTCCCACCTCGACTTCCCAAAGTGCTGGGATTACAGGTGTGAGCCACCACACCCAGCCTGTTTGTGTTGGTTTAGGCCACTAAGTATGCGGTAACTTGTTGCGGCAGCCATAGAAAACAAATACAGAGGACATGAGGAATCAAGCACCAGCACTTAAATCTGCCTGGCACTGACACCTGGCCCTTCTACTCGTATTTCCTTGGCCAGAGCAAGCCACATAGTCGTGCTTCATAGGACCTAACTTCATAGGACCAGAAAACTCTGACACTCCCGTATGCCCAGGCTTAGAGGGAAACTGAATTGTGGTGAATATAGTAATGTCTATTATACCTTGCTATCTGCAGTGCATGCTTATATTTTCTATTCTATTCCATTCCATTTTAAAAAAATCTTTTAAGTTCGTTATTTATTTATTTATTTATTTATTTTTGAGATGGAGTCTTGCTTTGTCACCCAGGCTGGAGTGCAGTGGCATGATCTCAGCTCACTGTAACCTCTGCCTCCCTGGTTCAAGGGATTCTTCTGTCTCAGCCTCCCGAGTAGCTGGGACTATAGGTGCGTATCACCACTCCAGGCTAATTTTTGTATTTTTAGTAGAGACAGGGTTTCACAATGTAGGCTGGACTGGTCTTGAACTCCTGACCTCAAGTGATCTGCCCACCTCGGCCTCCCAGATTGCTGGGATTACAGCTGTGAGCCACCACACCCAGCCATAAGTTGGTTTTATTGTTAACTGGTATGTGACCCCCGTTTGGAAAACATTACTCTACAGACCCTCTTCTGCCCAGGCCTCCTGGACCATATGACATACCTGATGTGTGACACACATAGGCACAGATGATTGGCCCAGGTGTGGAACATGTGACCAATGCTGACCAATCAAATTTCTCTCCTGGGAGTTTGGAAGTGGGCCATTCAACCAGTTAACAGTGGAAAGCTGAGTGAGAAGCAGAGTGGAAACAGTGTCAGAGTGGCAGTCACATCCAAGCCGAAAGGATGGAGGAGCAGAAAAGCCCTGAGTAAGCAGGGAGGGCTGGTCCACAGAGGCAATGGGGCAGCCGCCCAGAAGGCAGTGCAACCGGGGGACAGGTGCAGAGAGCGCGACTGCCTGAGATTCAGATGGCTTCCCAGGACCTGGTGCCAGCCCCCATGCATCCTGCCTGCTTCCCGTGAGAGTTTTGCCTTCTTATAACACAGCCTCCCCTTTTTCTTGAGCTACTTTGGGCGGTGGGGTCCGGTGCGGTGGGGGCTGGTTCTGTTCCTTGTCTCCACTGAGCCTTAATTAGCTGGAACACTGCTGGTATCTCTCTTATGGGCACCCAGCTGTGGCTCTGCGAATCAGGCCCTGGGGCATAGATGAGGCTGGGGGTGAGGCAGACCCTGCCTCCAGCATCCTGGAAATTTGGCTTTGACCAATCTTGGACGTGTGCGCTTGCTCTTCAGAGTGGACAGGCAAAGCCATCTGTGTGACGCTGCATAGGTGGGGGGTCCCGGGAAACGAAACATCCCCACAGGGGCCTCTTTTCTGATCGTGTTAAGGTCAGGAAGCCAGAGGAGTTTTATCACAGAAGGCTTGGCAGTGTGATGGAGTGGAAGGACATGGGCTCTGGAGACAGGCAGACCACACTTCACCTCAGTGAGCCTCAATGTCCTCATCTCTGAAATGGGATTGCCATAAGGATTGGCAGTGGTCTAGGAAAAACACAGTCATGTCTAGGGCATAGCATGCTCTCAGGGAATGCGGCAGCTGCTGCTGTGGTTTGAGGAAGCCATCAGAGTCCCACTTCCTGAAGGAGGTGGCCCTGGTGCTGATGAGATTAGCAGCAGGTCATTCCCCACTGCTGGCCACGCTTCCTAACCTGGCCACCCTCACTCTGCCCCTTGCCCCTCTCCTCTCCTCATTTCCCCTCTTTATTGTTATTCCTGATGTTGATAAAAACACCCGGTTTAGGAAAACAGCTGGGTTGGATAGGAAGCACCCAGCTTCTGGAGGCGGGCAGATAGAATTGGGTCTGAATCCTGACGGAGCCCCTGGCTTGCTGTGTGTTCTTGGGCGAATTGCTGTGTCTCTCTGAGCCTTGAGTTAATTACCTGTAAAATGAGGATGATAAATGCTGTTATGAGAAATTATTAGCCACTCAGCAAAGTTCTGTCTTCTTTCCCTCCCTTCTTGAAGCTGCCCCTCCCAGCCTGAACAGGGTGTCCTGCTCCTCCCAGCAGCCCCCAGAATGGCTCTCCGCGACTCAGTTGTGTGCGGCCTCAGTCACTTGTGGTCTCTCCTTTCCCTCAGACCCTGGGCTCCCGAGTCTTCTGGAAGCAGGTGGGGTCCCTGTGGCCTGTGCCGCTTCTCTGGTCTTCTCTGCAGGTCCAGCCCCAACTTGGGAGCTGCTGCTTCAAACTGTGTGATCTGTATTTTTTCTCACTTTAGCAATTACCACACCACAGCTGACTGTCATTTTCATACTCCCAACACCAATAAATATTTATGAGGAGGAAGCTGGGCGTGGTGGCTCATGCCTATATTCCCAGCACTTTGGAGGCTGGAGGATGGGTGGATCACTTGAGGTCAGGGGTTTGAGACCAGCCTGGCCAGCATGATGAAAACCCGTCTTTACTAAAAATATAGAAATTAGCCGGGCCTGGTGACACGCCCGTAATCCTAGCTACTGGGAAGGCTGAGGCATGAGAATTGCTTGGGCCCTGGAGGTGGCCCAAGATCATGCCACTGTACTTCAACCTGGGCAATAGAGTAAGACTCTGTCTCAAAAAAATAAAATTATAAAATAAATAAATATTTATGAGGAGGAGAAAAGCCCTGGACTCCCAGGGGAGGTGGGGGCGGAATGTGCCAGGCTTCTTAGCAAGCTGTGCTCACACCCACCAGTGGTCCCTGCAGGCCCAGAAGTGAGAAGTGGGGGTGGGCAGGGCCAGGGCTGCGAAGGCAGTGCAGAGCCACCACCCACTTGCCTTTTCTTCTGGAAGGAGGCAGGAGTGGCTGTCTCTGTGCAGTGGCGGGCCTCACTGTCCTGCCCACCCTGTTGCCTACTGGACCCCATGCTCCTGGGGGAGGACTGGACGTCAAGGAGCGCTCTCAGCCTCGTGTGTACCTGCCCATCCCTCTGTCCACTACTGTTTTAGCCTCTGTTATTCTATCTTCTATTTTAACCCTTTCAGGGCCAGTGTCCCAATACCCCCTGCTCTTCCCCAAACCCCTCTCTTATCTCTGGGTCTCTGTCTCCATCTTTTAGTTTTCTCCTCTCCCTTCCAACAATTACTTTCAGAGGTCCTAGAGCTAGCTGCTGGGGGCTGGGGAAGGGGGTCTCAGGCCCAAGACACAGCTCAGGGGAGAGGGCAGGGGGAGAAATGGAAGGCAAGTGAGCTCCACTTTTTGGGAGTCACGGACTACATCTCAACCTGACTCCTTGTCCAGCGCTCTGCAGGATGACTGTGGCATATTCTCCGCCTTTCCTGAGCTTCAGTTTCTGCTGAGTAAGGCAGCTGATTCCTTCACTCATTCATTCATTCACCTGTTCAGCTAATATTTATTGAGTGTTTGCTACCTGCCATTCATCTTTTGTGTTGTTTGTTTTTGTTTGGAGACGGAGTCTCGCTCTGTTGCCCAGGCTGGAGTGCAGTGGCAGATCTTGGCTCATGGCAAACTCTGTCTCCTGGTTTCAAGCAATTCTCCTGTCTCAGCCTCCCAAGTAGCTGGGATTACGGGTGCCCGCCACTATGCCCAGCTAATTTTTGCATTTTTAGTAGAGACGGGGTTTCACCACATTGGCCAGGCTGGTCTCGAACTCCTGACCTCAGGTGATCCACCTGCCTTGGCCTTCCAAAGTGCTGGGATTACAGGCATGAGCTACCATGCCTGGCCCCATCATGTATTAAACAATGATTGCAGTGCCATTCTGGATGCTTATAGTAGATGCATCTGTGGATAAGAGAGACAAAGATCCCTGCCCTCGTGGAGTGAGATGTTAGCAGAGTAGACGCATAATAAAAAGTAAAATATGTACACATTAGAAAGTGATAAGTGTTGGCTGGACGTGGTGGCTCACACTTATAATCTCAGCACTTTGGGAGGTTGAGGTGGTCAGATGGCTTGAGTCCAGGAGTTTGAGACCAGCCTGAACAATATGGTGAAACCCCATCTCTACCAAAAAAAAAAAAGTACACAAAAAATAAAAATTAGCCTGGGATGATGGCATTGTGCCTGTGGTCCCAGCAACTTGAGAGACTAATGAGGGAGGATCGCTTGAGCCTGGGAAGCAGAGGTTGTAGCAGTGAGCTGAGATTGCACCACTGCACTCCAGCCTGGGTGACAGAGTGAAGCCTTTCTCAAGAAATAAAGTGATGAGTGCTATGGAAAAAGAAGAAATAGAGCAAGAGAGGGACGTCAGGCCCTGCGGGCACAGTGGGGTTGAGCATGCCGTCTCAGGGAGAGCGTCCCAGAAGAGAACTGTCCCCAAGCTGGGAATTGCCCTGGTGTGCTTGAGGACCAGCCAGGGGCAGATGTGGCTGGAGATGGGTGAGGGAGAGTAGGAGGTGACACCGGGAAGCGAGGGCAGATCACACCGACCTTACAACATGACATGCTTTTCCTCACTTGAGCTCAGAAAACTTGCATTTGGAGACTCCCTCAGTCTGCCCTGCAAAGACCTGACTGCAAAGGGGCCGTTGCATAGCCCAGGAGAGCTCTGATGGCTACCGTGGGGGCTTATCAGTGGAGATGGTAAGCGTAGATTACGTGGGCACTGTTCAGATCTCAAGCTTGCATGGTGCCTGTCAGTCACTCCAGCCCTGGTCCCTGGTCCTGCCTCAAGGTGGCCCACAGGAGCTTGCCCCTGGGCAGGATACTTGAACGCTGGCCTGACCTCTCTTTCTCTCCACAGAGTGTTCAAGAAGGCCAGTCCGAATGGAAAGGTGAGTCTGTTACGGCTGCGCCCAGCACCTCCCTGACCCCACACTCTGGTCATTTTCTCTTGGGACAGCAGAGGAAGTGGCATGTCCTCCTCCCCTCTGTGAGAGGGGGCAGGTGCTACTCGCCATGTTAGGGGTGACACAGGAGCTGTCAGTTGAAGGAGGAGGGACATACTCAGGAAACTTTTTGTCTGAGTGGGGAAGTACAGCTCCCCTGAGCTCTGGTGTGGGCAGAGATGGCCTGTTGGCCTGTCGTAGAGAGACTTCACTGAGGGTGTGACCGTGGAGGACATGCCAACCAGTAAGTGCCAAGTGCCGTGGGGGAGTGAATCCCCTGCTGAGAGGACCCTGGCATCACCTCGTTATCCGGGGCGGCCCCAGGGCCTGTCTCCCTTTCTTCCTCCCTGCAGGTGCAGATGTCGTCCTGCCTCCCCTCAGTTCAGCAGGTAGATATTACCGACATCATTCCACACCAGGCCTGGGCTGAGCCTGGCGGGGACAGGGGTAGGGTGGACTGAGATGAATGAGGCACAGCCTGTGCTTCTCACAGCCAGATGGCAGAGGCAGACACAGAAGCCCATCATTTCAGCATGAAGTGGCAGGCGGGAGATACGGGGCCATTGGGGTTGCAGGACCCAGCCGGGTGGGCAGCAGCAACCTCTAGGAGGAGTGCATTTCCAGGAAAGGTAAGGTGAAAACGGCATGGTAGGCAGGACATAAAGGCATAGGGACTGTGAGAATCTTAAGCACCTGATCTCAGAGTGCCAAGAGAGAGGCTGAGGCTGAGAGGCTGCAGTACTGGTCACGGGAACCCTGTGGCTGGGCTTATGAGCTGGCCTGGGTTGGCAAATAATACCACGTGTGCTTCCACATCTCTCTTCTGTGCCCAGAGCAGATACCATCAGTCACCATCACCCTTTCCTGCTGCACCAGGCTTTCATCTTGGATTCTTTCTCAGCCCAGAGCCCCAGACAGCATCCCAGCTCCTCCCCCGACTGGTAGATCAGAGTTGGCACTTAGGACAAAACCCATTTGTCATGCTTACTTGTGGGCACTGAGGAACCATTAATGGGCTTCAGGCAGGAGTAGCATGGTTAGATTTGAATTTTAGGGCTAGGCGTGGTGGCTCACGCCTGTAATCTCAGCACTTTGGGAGGCCAAGGTGGGTGGATCACTTGAGGTCAGGAGTTTGAGACCAGCCTGGCCAACGTGGTGAAACCCCATCTCTACTAAAAATACAAAAATTAGCCGGGTGTGGTGGCGGGCACCTGTAGTTACAGCTACTTGGGAAGCTGAGGTGTGAGGATCACTTGAACCTGGGAGTCGGAGGTTGTAGTGTGCCAAGATTGCGCCACTGCATTCCAGCCTGGGCGACAGAGAGAGACTCCATATCAGAAAAAAAAAAAGCCAGGCATGGTGGCTCATGCCTGTAATTCCAGCACTTTGGGAGGCCGAGGCAGGCGGATCACCTGACGTCAGGAGTTCGAGACCCGCCTGACCGATATGACAAAACCTCATCTCTACTAAAAATACAAAAATTACCGAGGCATGGTGGCATGCACCTGTAATTCCAGCTACTCGGGAGGTTGGGACAGGAGAATCGCTTAAACCTGGGGAGTGGAGGTTGCAGTGAGCCAGCCGAGATCGAGCCATCGCCCTCCAGTCTGGGCAACAAGAGCAAAACTGTCTCAAAAAAAATTGCATTTTAGAATGACTAGTCTAGCTAAGGAGGAGAGTAGGCTCTCAGCAAGTGAGCAGCAAAGGGCTGGTGTGGTCCAGGCAGGAATGGTTGTGGGGATGGAGAGGGATGGACTTGAGAAGTATGATGGAGGTCGAGTCATGAGGATCGAGGGGTTGTTGAGGAGCAGGACACACAGGGTGGCGCTCTGGATCTGGCTTTGAGCTGCTGGAGTTCTCTCTCGGCGGTGGGGGGGGGGGTTCCCTGCAGGCTAGCTACTGAGTGGGTCATGAGCTCCCTGATCCCTCAGTGCCTCAGAAGGCAAGTCTGCATGCACAGAACAGCTAACTGTGGGAGGCAGTGCATTTGTTAATTAGCTGGGGTCACCTTTCCACAATGTGTATCTATTTTAAAACATTGTGTTGTGCATGATAAATAACATATCATTTTATGTCATTTAAAAATATTAATTTTAAAAAAAAAGAAAAGTCCTCGTATCAGTAGATCCCTGCCTGGCTGCATGGGAGGAGGAGCAACTGAGGAACGCAGCGCTGCCCGCGTTCAGAGACCCTGAGCGCTCCGTGCTCCCACCTGCCTGGGGCTCTCACCCTCTGAGGTGCCCGTACTCCTGCTCAGCCATCTTCTCTGCTGCTGCTACTCCACCCACAGTGGTGCTTGGCATGAAGATCTCTCTGGGCCTGAGCGTCCTCATCTGTAAAACAGGAACAATAATCACTCCTTCACAGGGTTTTGGGAGGAAGAGGTGCTTTTACCATTTTACAAGGGTTTGTGAATCTTGGTATTAGGGCTGGGGTGAAGGCCCAAGTCCAGTTAGGATTTTGATCAAGGTTAGGGATGGGTCTAGAGTTTCAGAGGCAACTCGCAGGGTTTCCTCCAGGGCAGGGTCCTGTGTAACCCCCTATGCAGCTGCTAACGCGCCCTATGCCTCTCCTCCCCAGCTCACCGTCTACCTGGGAAAGCGGGACTTTGTGGACCACATCGACCTAGTGGACCCTGTGGGTGAGTCCCTAGAGGGTGGGAGGAGGGCTGGGGGAAGGTGGGGCTGGCCCAACCTCCCAGGAGTAGCTCTCAACTCTCCAGAGGGGCCTGGTGCCAAGAATGGGGGTGAGTGGCTTCCTGCTTCAGGCAGCAAGCATTTACTGAGCAGCTACTTTCCCACTCAAGTGAGGACTACAAGAAGAGACCGTGGGAAGGACTGAGGTGATAGTCAGGGAAGGCATCATGACGGTAAGAAGGGAGGGGGTGATGACGACAGATGCTGCCACTTACTGTAAGGTGTGTCATGTAACAGACAGTGGCGGTGGCTATGATGACTATCCCTGCTTTACAGAAAAGGAGAATGAGGCACAGAGAGGCTCGGTGACTTACGCCAGGTCACAGAGCGAGTAGATGGAGGAGCCCAATTCAAACCTGGCATTCTGCAAAACCCTTTGTTCTGCTTCCTTGTGATGGCAAAGGGTGGGAGGCAGAGGGAGAATCATTCTTAGGACTTATGAAATGGGGGCTCCTCGCTTACATGGAGTTCCTGCTGGAAGCTGGGCTGGCTGAAGGCACCTTCCAAGGTCTTGTTCAAGTTCAGGGTTTTGCAATCTCTGCATGCTGACATTTTGGATTGGATAGTTCTTTGTTGGAGTGGCCTGTCCTGTGTGTTATGGGACAGATAGTCACATCCCTGGACTCAACTCATTCAATGCCCAGAGTACCTCACACTCCAGTTATGACAACTAAAAATGTCTTTAGATGGGGTGTGGTGGCTCACTTCTGTAATCCCAGCATTTTGGGAGGCCAAGGCAGGAGGATCACTTGAGGTCAGGAGTTCGAGACCAGCCTTGCTAACATGGTGAATCCTCATCTCTACTAAAAATACAAAAATTAGCCGGGCATGATGGCAGGCACCTGTAATCTCAGCTACTTGGGAGGCTGAGTTGGGAGATTTGCTTGAATCTCGGAGGTGGAGGTTGCAGTGAGCTGAGATTGCACCATTGCACTCCAGCCTGGGCGACAGAGTAAGACTCCAAAAAAAAAAAAAAAAAAAAAGTCTTTAGACATTAACAAAATATGTCCTTTGGGGACAAAATTACCCTGATTAAGAATCACTGCTCTCATTGGAAAAGCCTCGGTTTCATGGCCTCTTCTCATGCCTGTTTGCAGAGAGAAGCCAATTGGGCACGGTGAGGCCCAGAGAGGTTCAATGATTTTTTTTTTTTTTTTTTTTTT